TATATATATATATGATATACGTCACCCTCATATCCTTGATTCTCCTTCCTCCATGGAGTCTTCCTAAAACTCCACCATCATCTCATCATCTCATCCTCCTCCTCCTCTTCCTCACCTTCTAGCACCTTACTCATATACACAAATTGCCCCTAAAGTCTCAACCACATTTGCTCTCAGTCCAAGCTCAAGAAAAATAAACTCCTCCCTTGCGTCACACCACTGCAACCATTACGGCATGCAAAAATAATAGGGTGAAATTAACCTAGTTTGTATGAGAGATATAATAATAAACAGCAAAATATTATGAAGAAAAAGGAAGTAGATGTTAATGTTAGTAAGCCACAAAACCTTGTTATGTTATTGTTAGCAAGTAACACTCCCAAACTATTAAGTAGATGATAATGTTTATAAGCATTACTAATGAAGATTTTTTTTTTTTTTTTTTTTGGCTCTTTGGACTTGAGAGCAAAAGTGGCTTCGAGAACAATTAGTGTATATGAGCAAGGTGCTAGGTAGAAGGGAGAGGAGGAGGAGGAGGAGGAGGAGGAGGATGAGGTGATGGTGGAACTCGCGAGAGACTACTTGAAAGAAAGAGAATTCAAGAGTGCGAGTGTACCATCTTTTCAATTTTTAAGGGTTCTTACTAAAGGAAGGAAAACTCAAAATATGTGAGTATAATATTTTTTCAACTTTTAAAAGACCTCATTGTAGGTCAAAAATGGAGGAATATTGACTATAATATTAAAAAAATATAGGAGATACGAATGTAATTTACTTAAAAAATTGTATTCTTTTGTATGTGTGTAAAATAGAGAATCCAAATGCCCAAAGAAAAGTATCCATACTAATTATTATTTCATACTTAAAAAAATGATGTTCATTAATTAAATAAATACCAATTTTTATCTTAATATAAATCACTATCATTAATTTATTATTTTCTACTTGAAAAGGTATGTGGATCTTTGGATACCAATTTAAAATTACTTTTAACGAAAAAAACACGTATTCAAATATATAAAAAAATGAAAAGTTTATGAGTGTAATTTTTTTTTTACCCGGCTCCCAAACACACCCTATATCTTACAAGTTACATTTGTCTATTAAATACAAATAATTAAAAATTAAAATAATACTATAGATAAATACGGTAATGATGTGAAAAACATTACGGTTTTTTATAGTCACGTATGAGCATTTAATAAACTAAAATAAGAAAACAACCATTGTAACCCTCAACTATTTTCTATTTCTTATTTAATATATTAAGTTTTAAGTTTATTAAAATTTAAATATATTAAACATAGTTATAATATTTAAATTGTTATGGTAATGTGTCTCGTGTGGTATTCCTGTAAAAAAAAAGTGTGGTAATTGTTATACTGTTTTTTTTTTTAATCTATTTACAAGCCTTCGATATAGTTTCTAAAATTTCAATTCAAAATATGTTTCTTATTTTTGTAAAACTAACTCCCACCAATATTATAAACCCATCAACTATTGGAGTCATTCAATAAAAAGTCATTTGACATGCCAGTACTTGCTCAATATACACTGAATTTAATTTTAAATAATAAATATACAATATTTGTTAAAATTACAAGATAAAACTTAATAAAAATATATAATATTAGACTATACAATCTTACATGCATGTTCAATATTAAAAGATAATTAATAATCCAATAATCACTTTAAAATGGCTATCTTAGCATTTTTTAATTTTGATAAAACTTGACACAAATTACTAAAATAATATAGATTAAACACATAATTTAGTCTTTAAATGTGATGTGAATTCTCAATTTGGTATCTTCACATAAAAACTCATTAAATTAATTTCTATATATGTAAATATTATAAATTAGTCTCTCCATATCCATTCATTCCTTTATATATTCTAAATTTGGTCCTTCTATATATGTGTAACATATATTTTTTATTTATCAAATCCCTATCTTTTCTGCTCAAAATTGGAAGAGTATTTGGCGCTGGAAAGGCCCTCATTAGGTGCCAACGTGCCTTTGGATGGTTCTCCTTCTCCAGGAAAATGATATTTGTTCGC